ATCTACAGAAGATAAATTTATTTCAAAGATTAACGGCTCTCAGGATTAGCTATTCGCAAGTACTCCTACCTACTGCAAAATATAGTTATTAATCAGTATAAATAAGTAGGTTCCATTGTCTTTTAATTGAAATATATATTGCCACTTTTATTAAGATATCCATAGGCATAAATAAGAATTGATTTCTTATAAACATTTTAGCCAAAATACCTTCTTCCCTCTTCCAGAACAGCCGGTCAAGAAAGCCCCACGATGGGGAGAGGGGGGTGAAGAGAGGGGAGAAGGAAGAGGTGCTGGTGTTAGTTGTGCATCAATAGATGAATTATGGGAAGTCAGTGGAATCTCCTCCTGCGTGGTGGGATTAGGGACTGGAGCTGAAACAATGTTTTCATCCGGAATATCAGATGCCTCACAATTATTTTGGATGAGTGAAGGAATTTCGCTGGCAATCGAGGTACCCGATGCCTGGACTTGGTATTTAGATGCAGAACAAAGGCGGGCAAGCCACCCCATTAGAGATGAACGATGTTGATGATAAGCTTTTACATTACGCTTTTCGTTGCAATCGCGAAGGATCCAAGGGATATAAGTATTTCTGTAGGAATATTCGCATTGTTTTTCCATTTTAGGATGTTGTGTTTTGTTCTGATAAGCTCGATCCTTCTGACTAAGGCATTTGAAAGTGCCAAACTGCGACCTTGCTAAGCCATTAGCTGACAGACAAGACGAACTATAGTTCCTTTCAGAGCCCTGGTTGCAAACCTCACTCGAGGAAACATAGTTATAAAACCGTAAACAGTCATTTTCTTTACCAGCCACAGCTCTCGCATAATCATCAGAATCATTTATACTGAAAGTTGACTTTGAACTGACCCCAAGACGTTCGTTGAGGCCATACTGACTGTAGGAAGTTGACTGATCTTCTGACGCGACCTGAGTTCTATCATCTTTCGAAACTTCAGCCCCACTATGAAAGGAGATAAAGTGGCTAAAGATTTATATTAAATTCTGTAGAATAAAGAATAGAAGCGAGTAAAAAATGGCATGCACTCGGTCCAACCTTAAGA